CGGTCGTTTCCTTGTTATTGTTTTACCGCTTGAACGGAACATCGCGAGATTAGTCCTTAACGCAACCTCCGGTAATCTTGAACCACAACAATTTTCCCTGGCAAACCTCGAAAAAAATCCCCAATACGCCATTTAAGCTACTTCACAATTTTCATGCTACTCGGTAAAAAATTTAAAATTCCTTTGTTCGAACTGTTGATAATCAAAAGTTATAATAAATCAACTGGAGTCGTCATTTACAGCCGAGTCTGTCAGGTGAATTAAACGGCTCTAACCAATTCCACCATTACAGTTGTAAAGAATATTTATTGATCGTGCAGTTTAACTGATTAACAACCTAAAAGTAATGGATCCTCTTCAATTTAATTGATCAAGTTCATTGCCGAAAGCACTAATTACTTAGCAACTCTTCTCACTATAACAAAAGATTGCCATTTGGACAATTTTATTTGAGAATTAATGAAGAGGAAATAGCGAAAAGTTTCATCTGTTTCTGTGAGACTAATGCATTTATTTCCTCCTGTTGGTAATGAAGCTTGTGCTAAAGGCGTTCACTGTATATGTTTAGCTCTACCAGGCGTTACGCGCTTTTATCCACAAATGTAGAACTTGTCAAACAGAGCCGAAACAAGCTCAGGTGCTTTCTGAACGTTCCTCTGCTTGGTTTAGTTGGTATTTCAATAGATGATATTTAACACAAAGACCGTCGGCCCTTTGCTTTTCGCCAGACATACATATCGCTATAATTTTAATGTACTGATGAATTAGCACCAAGGATTTTAATCGCTTCTTATTTCTCCTCTTCATTGTGTTGAAAGAACAGCTTTAGAAACACTATACGGTGGCCAATTTGCATTATAAACTCAGTTGGTAAAACAAAATTATCTTGTGCAGACAGGACTGCAACACCGCGGAAAAAATCGATTAAGAAAATGAACTTACACTATTCGAAAATGGCTGGATGTGTTTAGATGCGTTTACCGTTTCTTACGCTACCACATCTCAACTTGGGCACGTTATATTATTGCGAGAGCCGCGCTGAGTTCCAAATAAGAACGTTCTCAACGCTATCAGACCGTAAATTTGAAGACTTCACGTCGTCGCTTTGCTGAGAGGGGGCTAGAAAATGAACAATATTCGAAGACACTAATGCTGCGCTGTTGTTTCCCCAAATGTGTTCTCTTTCCCCTACGCCGCCTTGGTTTACTGAAGGTCCCCAATGCTTACATGTCAAAAAAAATGACGCGCAAATTTTTTTTGAGAAATCGACCCGACCTTATACGTTTATTTGTTGCGTTACTCGATAACTGAGTGAGCGTATGATGGTGAATTGAATTAAATAGTTGTTCCGGATTCATAATTTATACATCCATTGATCGATCATAAAAAGACAGCGAAATTCCTACCGATGCCGGCGTTAAACGTAGATCGCAGAAACGGCTTTTGTTTCGGAATTAAGCTGATAGGGAAAAAGGCCTAGCCCACCTTTCATCGTCAGGAAGCAATTTAAAGATCCATCTCCGAAAAGAAAGTGCTAGTTGTTATTTTGTTTTGAATCGGCCTTATAAAAGACAGAGAGCGATTTTTGGACGAGGTAAGGGCTTTGAAAACTAAAAATCTGCCATTATTTTAGACGTCTTAATTACGAATGGCTTCCGCTGTATGCAACTGATAACAATTCATATGCCTTCAGAAGATTCTTAGCCGGTATTTAACTTCCGCCGGTGCACAAAGTTCTCTCTCAAGTATTACTAATCCCTCAGTAAGCATTTACATATACAGGTTACTCGTCAGCATTTCGTCAACCTTCCCTCGCTGTTTTCTACCATCCATTTATATACTTGGGTGGAGTGAGGCACTTTGGGAGAAAAGGGTTTTGCCCAAGAGAATTTTTGCTCGAGAGTATGACAAGAGTATGACACACCGCTAACGCTCGAGCCCAGGACTTCTTTATCAATGCGCAGTCCTCGCTTGGCATCAGGCTACCGCGTATTTTAGCAGCTGAGACATTTATTTCGTACCCAGATATATCCTGTGGCCCAAGATTGCTTTTAGACATATGCAATAATGTAGAACAACAATGGATGGCTTCGTAGAAGTTTATTGGATCCGACACCATTATTCATTCATTATCCATTTTATTGAGTTTCATTCGTTGAATTTCACATTACTCAAATGACAAACTTGAGTTTGCTCTCATCTTTGAGTGAAAAGCATTCCAGCATATTTCCATAAGTCCTAAAATTCCGTTTCGTTTGTTCTAATCAATCATTACATATCATTTGTTACTGATCTCTCTCTCTTCGATTGGTAAAGCTGTGCTCCCGCTTTTTCTGGAATTCTCCTCCTCTTCTGTAGGAATATATCCTCTGCAGGAAGCTTGCCCATCTATCATTACCAAAACAAATCTAATTACGTTTTACAAACTCTCCCTTTCCTTTGTCATGTTAAACAGGACGATCCTTTAAGTTGTTTTATGATTGACAAGACCTTACTCCCCGTGTGCGACCCATGAGTGAATATGCTACAAACGAAATGAGGATTTTTACAAACTATTTACAGTTTTTTTCTGTCCTTTTTTCAATGGTCTTTTTGAAAGGATCTTTCTTGAATTTGCAGGGGGCGACACCACATATATATTAAAAGTTTAAGTTAGACTCATCTAATTCTGTGGACAACACTGATATCTGTTCTTAGTCACCTAGTTACGAATAGTGCCCGCCCTCAGTGCCGCCCGTTCATATACTTATTTACTAAGAGCCAGTTGATTTATTATTTAAACCAAAGTCGTCTAAAAAACCTACTTACCACTGCTTGCAATTTTCTTGGATTCCTCTTCACAGACGAGCACTGCCTATGCTTCGCCCAGATTAAGCAGTTCAGTCCTTCAACGCAACAAAGCGAAAAGAGAAGCAACGCAAAAACAAGCAAACTTGGCAGAAGTTTCATTTCATCTGGAAGAGCAATCCGTCTACTTAAATGTGACGTGGTTCTATAGTGTTGGTGATCGGTTCAAAGCTAAGGGAAGTGTTGAGTATTGTATGTGAAGCTTAAATACTGCAGCAAAGAAAATCACACGTGCGTGTTGTGTTAATAGCTAATTTTCTTTTGGTTGAATTAATAGATTTGACAGTTTTGAAATCTATTAATTTTGAGGAAAAGTAAACGCTTTTTAATGTTGTTATCAAGGCGTAAGACAGGTTGATAACGGACTGGACAGGTTGATGTGAGCAAGATCGGAAAAAGCCGTTCAGCCTGGCTACCCTCGCGTCGCTTTGTTGCACAGAAAACTTAAAAGAAAACAGAAACGAAAAAAGAAAGCGTTTTTCAAGGAATTGGGAGCTTCTTGTTCTGAGCTTTTTTTGTGCTTTTTTGGGCTCGTGTGGCTGCGTGTGCGCTCGGTGGGTACTTTATGACCTTGCTAAATACTTCCCGTCCGGCCCTCCCATTCAGTCAATACGTACATATTTTCTTTATTGAAGGTAGCGCGAAATATCACAATCTACATGTGGCCCCTCGTGAAGAACGAAAATTAATCTATGCAAAATGAAAAATAAAAAAAAACTGCCACATTTACATATGAATGCCAAGTTATTTTGCGATGGACCACCGCAAAACTAACCTAGCCCTGTCGATTCGTTTTCTCAATAATATGTTAATACATTAATGCTACAGTCTACCTACAGAGCCTTATGCAAGATCAAGTTGATTTCATTGTGACACGACCAAAATAAATAATGATCGGTCCCAAGGTTCGTGCAAGTTGAAAACTGTTGAAAAACTCACGACAATCATGGCTTCCCTTGACGATACTTGCAAAAAAACTTATGCGGTAACGTTTCTAATTATCGAAACGACAAGAAAATATCAAACAGGTAAACGTGAGTTTGAATGACTAAGGGCAATTGCAAGGTATTATGAATGGCCAATAGGCCTTTATATATTATGTTAGCATAATTTTTGGCATAATTTGAGCAAACTGGCATAATTTCTGCCAAGTAACAATGCTAGCATAATTCGCATATTTTGATAATTATCGGATCATTTTTGATGCTACAATTTGATCATTGTTCATCTCTACTCCCAAGCACTTGGTGACGTTATTCGATGTTTTAAGTTTTAGTTCAAGTAGTAGCATTTGTAGTTCACTGTGAATCACTGAGCGGCGTCTGAAACGGTCTGAGCCCGGGTTAACATGAACCACATGTTTATTTGAATTTCATTGTGGATTTGTTGCGTTTCTTTCTTGTAGACCAACGGCTTCTAATTAAAAAATGTATTTTTTGGACTTATTTGCAATTTTTTCAAAGAGCATAATTTAAAAAAAAA